GAAACTTTGAATAAGTTAAATATAGAAAATAAGGAGGACAAACCCCTACTATTGTTTCTTGATCCGCTCGCCTTTAATTTTCACAATGGATAATATTATACTATTTGGAGGTTTGGAGTCTACGTGGATACCTGTTTTCCTTACTTGTGTTAATTTCTCCTACCAGATCGAGTAAATATTAGGCGCTCTTTACAAAGTGACCGTCAAGGACAAATTTGGACATACTACATATGCCTATCCAATACACGTACCGTCTTTCCAGAAAGTGTAACTTAAGTGATGAATTAATGGGCACATATATATATATATATATATATATATATATATATATATATATATATATATATATATATATATATATATATATATGTCGTTGGAGATGTGTAGAAAGAAATAAACAAACCAAGGCCGTTCAACACTTGTCTATCATCGTACGTAGCTAAATAATTGGTAGATTTTGCCATGTCTGTCTATGTAAAAAAATGCCATCAAATTAAACCGTGGGCGTGTGAGAGGGTGTTAAGATGGAGACGTGAGCTGATGCGCCACTAAAACGCCGCGAACTACGTGACGGTTTCCACTGCGAAGTTGCGAACCACAAAGTCGTTGCCAGTAGTACTAGTAACGCCAATCATCACCGTACCACAAGCTTCCAAACTGGTGCACCACTAACAAGGGACCGGATTGCGCGTTGCCGGGCGGCGACGGCGGAGGGTTCACGGCTCGTACTCGTCGCAACCAATCCCAGCTTCCTCTACATGGGCACGTACGTACGTGGCCCCCGTCGACGACGGCAGCCTTAATTTTCGTCATCCTTGCGTGTGTCCATCATCATAGTCCGTATGTGCAATACAACAACGTACAGTGGGACTGGCTCGCAATGTATGTATGTATGTGTCTGTGTGTATATATATGTAGCAGCAGGCAGCTGTACAAGTCCAGGCGAGCCGTCGGCGCCGTGAGCGCATGCATGTACACGGCATACTTACGCCAGGGCCAGGCCAACAAATTAAAACATCCTATCGGCCGCTGGGAAGCCGACTGGTCTGCAAATGGCGCAGGTCCAGTGCTGTGTCGTTGCCACGTCGCCTGTGGGCCGTCCAGCGGCCGATAGGATACCGTATTTGCTATTTTTTATAACAGCTTATCCATTTGCAATTATTCAATTAAAATATTTATTTTTAAAAAAATGCTCCCGTCGGCTTCTGAGTTGCCGACAGCTCTCCTATCGGCCGCTCACCTGCGGACAGGATGCTACACCTCCAATTTTTGTGTAACAGCTAAAATGCACATGGGTGCATTCTGTATAGCAAATGCACCCAGCCGCGAGACGCGCGCAGCGCGGCGAGCGCCCATGCTCCTGCATGCAAACAACCAGCCAGCCATTCTTACGTGATGCCACCTAACACGCTCCAGCATGCAGGGAATCTTTTGTTGATTCCAAACGAAAAAATATGATATCTTCTAAACCATATATCCGATTTTAGTTCTGTTTGAAGTAGGTTGTTGAAAAAAATATGCTTAACAAAACGAGATCCATGAAGGCTGTATTTGATGAAGTTTTTTTTCAAATACGTAATTGCAATATGTTGTACTATGAGTTGCAAGCACTTCTACAACACAATTGCAACTTGGCTGTAACGTATTTAGCACTGGTTGCAATGAAAGCTGTATTTGATGAAGTTTTTTTTCAAATACGTAATTGCAATATGTTGTACTATGAGTTGCAAGCACTTCTACAACACAATTGCAACTTGGCTGTAGCGTATTTAGCACGGGTTGCAATGAAGGCTGTATTTGATGAAGTTTTTTTTTCAAATACGTAATTGCAATATGTTATACTATGAGTTGCAAGCACTTCTACAGCACAATTGCAACTTAGCTGTAGCGTATTTAGCACTGGTTGCAACTCGTTACTACACAATTACTACTGGCTGCAACAAAGTTACTACCCGATTGTAAACCAATTAATATTGATTGCAACTAGTTACTACTCAATTGCAACACAGTTGCTACTCAGATATGATTGCAACTCAGAATTACAACTTGACGTGATTATAGTGACCAGATGCATATAATACACAGTGTTATAACTAGTTGCAACTAGGTGGTAGACAGAGTTGCAATCGGTAGTACATTGACATGCAACTCGCTTAAAGGATAAAAAATATATCCATATTGGATCTAGTTTTGCTCAGAATATTTTTTTGAGTCGGATGCAACAAACGGTTTGTCAATCGGGGTTACGGTTTAGGAGAAAATTTGTTTCAAAGATTCAAACCAACAAAAAATTCCATACATGCATGCATGTATTCGCTGCTTGCTCCAAGTTGGTGCGCCTGCAGGCCTGGGTGCATTCTATATACAGGATACATCCAGGTGTATTATAGCAAACCAGTATATATATATATATATATATATATATATATATATATATATATATATATATATATATATATATATATATATATATATAAGCAGGCAGCCGTACAAGTCCAGGCCAGCCGTCGGCGCCGCAAGCGCATGCATGCATACGGCATACTCACGCCAGGGCCAGGCCAACAAATTAAAACTGTACGTACGGCCTATCAGCCGCGGGTCCACTGCCGCGACCTTGCCACGTAGCCTGTCGGCTCTCCATGGACCGACAGAATACTGTACTTGCTATTTTTTATAACAGGTTCTACATTTGCAATTACTCAATTAAAGTATTTATTTTTTGCAAGTGTAACTTAAGTGATGAATTAACGGGCACATTATATATATATATATATATATGTCGTTGGAGATGTGTAGAAAGAAATAAACAAACCAAGGCCGTTCAACACTTGTCGATCATCGTACGTAGCTAAATAATAGGTAGATTTTGCCATGTCTGTCTATGTAAAAAAAATGCCATCAAATTAAACCGTGGGCGTGTGAGAGGGTGTTAAGATGGAGACGTGAGCTGATGCGCCACTAAAACGCCGCGAACTACATGACGGTTTCCACTGCGAAGTTGCGAACCACAAAGTCGTTGCTAGTAGTACTAGTAACGCCAATCATCACCGTACCACAAGCTTCCAAACTGGTGCACCACTAACAAGGGACCGGATTGCGCGCTGCCGGGCAGCGACGGCGGAGGGTTCGCGGCTCATCCTCGTCGCAACCAATCCTAGCTTCCTCTGCATGGGCACGTACGTACGTGGCCCCCGTCGACGACGTCAGCCTTCCTCCACCACCTGGCTAGCGGTGCCACTGCCGCCTTGCCACCCGCCGCTCCTGCCCCCGTGTAGGCCACAACCGTTGTTGTCTCGGCCTTCCCAAATTTTTCTTCTAAACCTACCGCAGTCAGAGAAGAAAGGCCACCTAGCCCCAAACCCTAACCAAACTAATCAGGCGACAAGAGCCTGTGAATCGGGACATTGAACGGATGCACCAAAAATCTGGGTGTTCTCCAAAACAACCGGTGCCATTTATCATTTCTCATGAAATTGGGTAGCATTTGCTTCTTGTGATTTGTTAAGCGAAAAAGAGGTAATGCATATTTTGTATATATGTAAACATGCTAGGGTCACATACTGACCACCAACTCAGAACATTATCTGCTTGGACGAGTTTCGAAAGGAGTTCACATGGAATTCGCACTTGCTTTATTATTTGTTTGGTTCTAGTGGACGGCATTGGAAGCAGGTAGCACTGGTTTTGCAGGACGCTGAGCCGCCAACCGTATGCTCCGAAGCGGTAGCACTGGTTTAGCAGGAGACTGTTTGGGAGGCTCACGAATAAGCGGAGAGTCGACCTTCTTCAGCATGCGCCTGGTGAAGCTCTTGAGGCGGCGTGCAGCGGAGCTGTCACTGACATCGACCGTGCAGTCCTCCCGATGCGGCATACTGAACATGTCTACAGCCGCCGTGGGCTCAGCCAGACCGAAGGCAGACAGACCGGCCAGCTCGACCTGCGAAGGCACGTCACCTCCTGAGGTTGTCTACGCGGCCTGTGGTGGCATGACATGAGACTGGCTGTTCTCGAGTGGCGGTGGAACTGAGTCCGTTGCCAACTGAGCGGGGTGGGAGGCCATCGTCGAGAAGTGACGCTGGTGCACACACTCGTGGCTGCGTACGATGCTGCAACCTCCTCCAGCTATGATTGTACTTAGCTTTATGTGTGTTTTCAAGCAACTTGGAATTGGTCAAAGACGACGACATATATGCACGGGTAGGCATGGGCACCGCAACTGAGGAATTGTAGCGAGTAGCAGACTTGGAGTCTATTCGTTTGACTGGTTGCCGAAAGGTGCATCTGTGATCATTTTTATTTTAAATTGCATGATACAACGCAGACGTCCACAACATGCACGCACACTCACCTCCACGAGCACACGTATGTAAACTCTATCCCTATGAGCATCTCCGAATGACTGAGCCGGCAGATCTTGAGATTCACGAAGTCACCACTGGCGCCTCGCTGTCGATGGGGACGTTGCCTACCACCGAAAACATAGCGTCATTAAATCCTAAAATAAATCCAGAAAAATACGAGCACCCATACCAAGTTGAAAACTTGAATCCAGGTGGACTGGTTCCGCCAGAAGAAACCTATCCAACGATCAGTTCGTGCGTCTGTGATCATTTTGACGTACGATTCAAACGATCCAGCACAGGGATTGCATTGCATCGTTGGAGCATTTGGGTCCGTGTCTCTCACCATCGCACAGATGACGTTATGGGAGGTGAACATTCAGCGCGCTGATACCCAAATACTGTATGTACGTAATAAATAAATAGGATAAGTTTAATAGATTCGATCGTTTGGCTAATACTGGTAGTATCTACAAATAATTTGGATATTCCATACATATTTTTCGTATATCTGATTGGCAATTACAAAGTACACGAATACATAACACGCATTATATATAGTAGAAATACAGGGCATTCGATCAAGTCCTTACAAACTGCATGCAAATTCTACAGCGTATGCAAATATACGATACGATACAATATATATGATATATATTATTAGTATCTGGGGAACTGGGAGATGACCCTCTGGACTGCTGGCCTGGACAACAAGTCGTGAACCCATGCCTTGACGCTCGGGTAGGAATCCAACACCGATGCAAATGGCGTGGCCATAAAGTGGACCGTGTACGGGAGATGGCTGAGGTCCGCCAGGCTGACGAAGTCCCCTGCCAGGTACTTGTGCTTTGACAGCTGCGCCTCGTACACGTCCAGCACCTTCTTCATCTTCTCCAGGGACTCGTCGATGAGCTTCTGGTCGGGAGTTCCTCCGCTCATCGGCACGAGAATCAGCTGGTAGATGATGGGGGCGATGGCTGGGTCGTACTGGTGTGCTTCAACGTCTAGCCAGACGTCGACGAGCGCTGCCTCTGATGTGTTGTCCTCCCTCAGCAGGTTCACCTCCGAAGTCTTGTACTTGCGAAGCACATGCCTCGAAATCGCCCGGGATTCTGGTGGACGACAGAAGCAAATATTTATTTATTTATACATATATATATGCTCATAAATACCTACTCAGTCTCAAAATAAGTGTTTTTTTTATTTTTTCGAGAAGCCAACTGTTTTTAACTGACTAAATATGTACAAGAAAATATTTAACATCATAATACATAATTAGTATAATTAGATAGATCGTTGAATCTATTTTCATAATAAATTTATTTGGAGAGATACAAATGTTGCTAACTTTTTTTACAAATATAATCAAACTTATGAAAGTTTGACTGGCATAAATATCATAGCGACACTTATTTTAGGACGGAGGGAGTACTAGCAATTATATATATAGCAGCAGCGAAATATTTACTCTCCCTGCAGATGCTGTACTATATATATTTTGGTAGAATTTGGTAAGTACATATGATCCTGAATTTGTACTAGTATTCAAGGAACAACCGTTTGTTGTCCTTGTACTGGTGTAAGAATCTTATCCTTACTTAAGAGAGAAAATTTTAGCATGTCCAAGAAAGAAGACAACTTTTGATAGCCTCATCTGTGTCTCTGACACGTTAGGATTCAACCAAAGTTGATTTGCCACATCTCAAGATTCTTGCCTCCCCTGAATTAATTATGCTAACTGAATCATCATGTCCCAAATTCAGATCCATCAAACCATCCCATACTCTCTTTTTAACTGTCGTTTTCACTTTCGAGAAGTCAAACCCACTTAACTTTGACCAAATATATTAAAAAATATTAGTATTTATAAGACATAATTAACATCGTTAGATAGATCGTTGAATCTATTTTCATAACAAACATATTTGAAGATATAAATGTTGCTAGTCAAACTTAAGAAGTTTGACCAATACGAACACTATAATAAGAATAAAAAAGGAACACGTGGAGTACCAGGACTCACCAAAGAGCATCAGTTCGCCATCCTGGAAGGCTGGAAGCTGTCCAAAGGGCTGAAAGAAGAAGACTAGTTGTAGAAACTATAATAATTACTTTCTCAGTCCGCAAATGATAATTATACTTTCTATAGACAAAAGTTAAGTTTTACAAACATTGGCTAACAATTATTTAGATAAGTTTTGGATATAAAATTTACGTCAATAGATTTATATTTGAAGTATCTCTGAAATGATACTGATGCTTTAGCAAATGAGAACACACCGTAAGATAAGAAATTAGGAGTCCAAATATATTCTAATTCACTTTGAATTGATCAAAATATGCTTATAATTTTGGAATGGAGGGAGTGAATTACTAATCGATTAAATAGTGAGCAACGCTCGCAGATCATATGAAACCTAGCAACAAAAACATCGAATCCAAAAAAAAAGCAAGAACGGTTATATATAGAGGTGCCTGTACACGTACGTTACGTTGGAGGTGTTGGGGGCTCTTGTGCTCGCCGGTGTTGAAGTCCACGTTGACAATCTCGTACTCCACGCCGACCTCCTCCAAGCACAGGATTACACGCGTCACGTTGGGGGACAACAGTGGCCCGAATACCTTCACCGGCGCCTGCCGCGGATTCAGAAAAATTTTTAGGGAAGGCTGAATAACACGTACCTCCATGCTATCCACTTCAATTCCCTGTGCTCCACCCAAGATCGATCATATAGATGCACCAGCTAGCTGGTTCCTCTACCTCTACCTGAATATGTCTTATTTATAAGGGCGCATGTGTCCAAGTAGTGTAAACTCCTGTGGTCAAGAAAAGTCGTGGAACTTTGAATCCTGGAGATCATAATATCGTCTTCCGTCGACACTTATTCTTGTGGTTTGAAGAAGAGAGTATAGATACGTTTCCCTTCTTGGACGTCACTTCAGAATTTAATGGAGGAATAGTAGGGAGAAGGCTAGTCTTTAAAATTCTTGTCTGACTCGTTCAGCAAAATACCGTGTTTACCTCAAGAAGAGATGCTCTGTACACAACACGTGCCAAGATTCATCTAACGGGAGCTTACGTCACACGCACCGACACACATATACGTACTGTTCTCTTGGTTGATAAGCTTGGCTGATTGATTGTGAGAGAAAAATATTATTCGTTGACTGAAAAAGTATCGCTTATAAGCGAAGCAAACAGGGCGGCTGAACCTTAGAACAGTGGCAGATGATGCTTTGTGGTAAGAGCAGCTGTTTGTAAAAAAAAAAGAAAAAAAAGAGGAGCAGAAGGTAAGAAGCACGGCAACGTGTGTTTTTCAGCAGAGCAATGAGTAAAAAAAATGATTTTGCATCAGTGCAATGAGTAAAAAATCTTTCTAGGAAGCTTATACGCTTCCTTGTTCCTTGCTCTATCATGCCCGAGCATGCATGATCATGGAACCAGCTAGGATAGAAACAAGAAGATCATATCTTGCCGAATATACTACTGATAGTCCTAACACAGGATTACTAGCCATAGATCTAGTATGTCTACTTGCTTTTGGAATAAACAGTCAGTCCTAGAACATCTACTAGTACAGGATAAGAGATAGAGTGAGAGACAGAGGGGTGAAGGGGGTGCAAACCATCGGCCGCCTTAGAGGAAGACGGGCTCGCCATCGTGGTGCTTGGTGAAGACCCGATGGCGGTGCTGTGTTGAAGGGCGGCGGTGCAGTGGCGGCGTTGGCCGGTGGCGGTGCTTCCCGTCACTGGCAGCGCCCCTCTGTGATCGGTTAGGGTTTAGGACTGTAGGTGGGGTGCTAGGCGGCTCAGGCGAACCTCGTGCTTGGCGCCCCCCGCCCCCACCTCCTATTTATGGCGCTGCACGACGGGGGTCCACCAACCATATTAGGGTTGGGCACCCCCGATCAGGGCACGGATCCAAGGGCCCAGGGCCAATTGGTGGAGATCAACTAACATTCTCCCTCTTGATCTCACTTATAACTTAAACTTCACTTATTTTTTTTTCTTGTTCCCATTCCATCACAGATCAGTGCATAGAGCGTGCATCATCGTCACGGTCTATTGTCATTAGATTAAACAGCTACAATACACCTCTCTGTCTTGAAACAGATTCTTAACTAGGCCCTTATTGTCCAGGAATCATAGGCTTTCCCTTAAACTCATGCCGGCTAAGTGTTCTCTGAACACACTGGGTGGTAAGCCTTTTGTAAGCAGATCCGCGAGCATCTTTTCTATTCTTATATGCTCAAGACTAATTATATAATCCCGGACTTTATCTTTCATAACATAATACTTTATGTCAATGTGTTTGGGAGCACCACTTGACTTATTGTTGTGAGCATAACATACTGCTGGATTATTATCGCAATATAACTTGAGTGGTTTATTTATGTCGTCAACCACTTTCAACCCGGGCATGAATTTCTTCAGGCAATTCACCTGCCATGTGGCCTTATAACATGCTACAAACTCGGCATACATTGTGGATGATGTAGTGACGATTTGCTTTGAGCTTTTCCATGATATAGCTCCTCCTACGAGAGTGAATATGTATCCTAACGTGGACTTTCTGTTATCTCCCGCATAATCGGAATATGTATATGTCGGATACCACAAGAAGGGGTACCCTAAGCAAGAACCGAAAATATTGCTTAAGCCTTGCAAAAATCAAAGCCAAAGGACGACCACGAGGTCTCGGCAGATTCTCCAACTCGCCCAAGGCTAGCGCCGAAGCCTCAGACGAAAGGCCAAAGCCCTCCGCCCCGCCGAGGCCCTCTCGCCAAGGCCCCCTCGTCGAGGCCCCGCCCCGCAAGGCCTCGGCTGGGATACCAATTCTCCGTTTCGCCCGAGGCTGGGCTCGGCAAACAACCTCGTCACCTCCGTCCCGACCGACTCCCCTGACAGAACGTCACGTCCAGTTAATGCGCCCCACTACTCCCGCAACATCAGCCGCACGTCGGCACTGTACAGGCAGAATGACCGATGGGACAGGGGACCAGAATACTGCCCTGTGCTGCCTAACTCCTGCGCCAAGAACAAAGTGGCGTGGAGGGTCAAGTCCGGGTCCCAGTAGTCTCGGAATCAGCATGAAAGACCAACCGCTCGTCCTCCGCCTCGTCCGAGACCCCCCGGCAGGGCCCCGGACGTACTTTTCCTTCTCCGCCTCGGCCGAGACCCCCCCGCCAGGGCCTCGGACGTGCTATTCCTTCTCCGCCTCGGCCGAGGCCGGGCTCGTCCCGCATCCTCATCGCCTCCGCCTCAACCGTCCCTCTGGCAAGCCGTCACATCCGTTTAAGTGCGCCCGGTCACACCTACTACGTCAGCCACGACTGACAGGGTACAACAACAGGGGCGATGGGACAGCGGTCAAATCTCCTTTTTACCATCCCCTACTTATGGTGCAGGGGTTACCGTGCCCTATGGACACACGCTCCGCACTTCCCCGCCTGAACCGGGTACGACGCAGACCACCGAGACCCCCGCATCATACATGGGTCACCTTCGAGGCCTCGGCAAAGCAGGCCTCGGCACGATCAGCTACAGCACCCGCCAGGCCTCGGCACTCCACCCAGTCAAGAACACACAAGGCACGGCATGCCTCCTACAGTGGAAGCCATACTGACTAGACGTCAACAAGGACCCCCACGACCTTAACAACCTCGGGCCTGGCCAGCACGGCGCGCCAGTGATCAAGTACCAATTGCCATTCCCGGCACTGTACTGCTACAGGGATAGAGTACTAGATCTTCCTTCTAAGGCTCCATGTATAGCTCTCTCATGTATTACCGGCTCCCTCCTTACAGCTAAAAAAGGGGGCAGCCAGGGCCATTTCGGAGAAAAGAGAAGAACACTTGATAGCACACACACATACACATCCCAGCCGCCTGAGAGCAACGTCTCAAGCCGCCCACATGACACCTCGCCGAGACCTGGGATTAGCTCCCTCTCTCACTGTGCTTGTAACCCCCTACTACTAGCACTTCGGTGCAAGGAATACAAGATCGATCTCTCAGACTGGACGTAGGGCATCGATTGCCTGAACCAGTATAAACCTTGTGTCTCTTTGCATCACCATCCGGGATTAGGGGCACGCAATTCACATTTACTGGTTGGTTGAGGACCCCCCCGGTCCAAAACACCGACAGTTGGCGCGCCAGGTAGGGGATCTGCGTGTCAGTTTTGTCATCCCAACAAGTTCCGGATGGCAGACCCCGTACGGCCGTTACGTCTCAACACGGTGATCTGGTTCGAGGGCCTAGAGTTCATGTCTCTGGGGCATGAGTACGACATGGTACTCCTCACGCCCCGAACCCCACCAACCGACGACGACGTCACGCACCGGTAGCCAGTGGCAGGTAAGGCGGCGCCGGCGGCCGCTCTTCTTGCGTGCTCGCCAGCACGACACGAGCAAGACCACCCCAATGCTACTCGAATCCGGGGCTGACACGCCGCTCCTCGCCGACATCCCACGACCATTTGTTGGCACAGGCTCCTGGTCGGGGACTGTCTAGCCTAAGCTTGGATGAAGGAAAACGCCCGGTGGCACATGGCGACGCCAGGTCACCAAGCTCCGCTCCACCACTCCTCGAAGAGCCGATTTGGTGAGCAAAGTTCGGGCGACGGCACCATCCTCATACCCCTTTGGGTTGAGAAATGCCACCACCTCTTATGCTTACGCTTACGCTACGCGCGCACAAGGATCCCCGAACGCCGCCGGCGCTTCACTCTCGACACAGGCACCCACGCCGACTCCTCGGAGGAGGACGAGGCATGGCTGGAGTGGATTTCTCTGGACTCCACGACCCGGGGCTATCGTCGTTTCTTCGCCATAGCGACTAATGCTTCGGCTACTCCGACTCCGACAATGAGGGCACCTATGACCCCTATCGCGAGTGTTTCCACGTCGGGCTCGGGATGCCGAGGGCGGGCGAGGAAGACGAGGGTGGGGGTAGCCGTTCCCGCTTCGCCCAGTGCACAGCGCCGCCACACCTCCACGCATTCTCCTACCGGCGGTACGGGCGAGAACCCCGCTTCTTGCGACCTCAACGTCCAGACCTGGAACAGCTCCGTGAGCTCCAGGCCAAGGTCGAACAGGACCGACTCCTTCTACAGCAGCTTCGAGACTCTCTCGAACAGGAGTAGCAAGGTCGCGGCGAAGGCGGAGGAGCCCGATGAAGGGCCCGCGATGTACATCATCGCATCCATGACGACGACGAAGGGAGCGAGCAACCCCCAGTCTTCAATCGCGCCAGCCAGAACGTCGCGGCCGCGGCAATGCTGGTCCACGCGATGCCTGAGCCTTCTACCACGGAGGGGTGGCGGGTCCATGGCGAGCTCCGAGAGCTCCTAGAGACCGCCGCGGTTCAGCAGGCCGAGAGTTCCGCCTCCCGACGGCACGGGGGCGTCTCGAACCTGCCCACGGCACCGCCTCGGCAAGACAGGGAAGCCTCGGCTCATCCCGAGCCCGCTCGAGCACCGATAGCCCACAGGGCCCCCGTGCTTCTGGACCGCCTCGGCAACCGACGCGAGGTACAGGGAAACCATGAGGTGGTCAGCAGGCGACGACACCACAACAGCAAGGGGCCCGCTCGGGGCTACCACCCACACCGAGGCGGCCGCTATGACAGCGGGGAAGACCGCAGTCCTTCCCCTGAGCCGCCAGGCCCTCGGGTCTTCAGCAGGGC